TTAAAAGCGAAAAGTCGATTTGCGAAGACCTAATTCACAAAATGCCGATAATTCACTTTTACAATCTACACTGTGACAAATTCTACGTGAGAAAAGGGTAGAGAGAGAAATAAAGAGGAAAATGGATCGTGACGTTTATTATGCGTGCCGACGGAAATCTCGCGACAAGCGGCGACGATAAGAATTCGTTGAGATAAAAGCCCCGTGGAAAGTTTCCATAATTCACGAAATACCGACAACAAAATAAGAGAGATTAACACTATTTCGCGAGTTCTGCATATTTGAAAATATTTTCAACATTCACTTGTAATCAGGGAATGAAAATATAAAGAGTTTTATGCGATAGCAGAAATAATTTCTTCATAAAAAATTATAAAGTGTTCGAGGTCGCGTAACTTTAGCAGCAGGAGGGGTGCGCCAGCCGCACTTTGAGAGTTCCATTGGTTTAAAAATATTTTTAACGTTCACTTATGATCAGAAAACGAATATCCAAAGAGTTCTGCGCGACAGCAGTAATAATTTATGTATAAAAAATTGTATAGTATTCGAAGTCGCGTACATCTACGAGCAGGTGGGGTGCGCTACCTGCGCTTTGAGAGTTCTGTCGGTTTAAAAATATTTTCAACGTTCACTTGTAATCAGGGAATGAAAATATAAAGAGTTCTGCGCGATTGCGGTAATAAATTATTTATAAAAAATTATATAGTGTCCGAGGTCGCGTAAATGTACCAGCAGCTGGGGTGCGCTAGCCGCAGTTTGAGAGTTCCATTGGTTTAAAAATATTTTTAACGTTCACTTATGATCAGAAAACGAATATCCAAAGAGTTCTGCGCGACAGCAGTAATAATTTATTTATAAAAAATTGTATAGTATTCGAAGTCGCGTACATCTACGAGCAGGTGGGGTGCGCTACCTGCGCTTTGAGAGTTCTGTCGGTTTAAAAATATTTTCAACGTTCACTTGTAATCAGGGAATGAAAATATAAAGAGTTCTGCGCGATTGCGGTAATAAATTATTTATAAAAAATTATATAGTGTCCGCGGTCGCGTAAATGTACCAGCAGCTGGGGTGCGCCAGCCGCAGTTTGAGAGTTCCATTGGTTTAAAAATATTTTTAACGTTCACTTATGATCAGAAAACGAATGTCCAAAGAGTTCTGCGCGACAGCAGTAATAATTTATTTATAAAAAATCATATAGTATTCGAGGTCGCGTACATTTACGAGCAGGTAGGGTGCACTACCTGCGCTTTGAGAGTTCTGTCGGTTTAAAAATATTTTCAACGTTTACTTGTAATCAGGGAATGAAAATATAAAGAGTTCTGCGCGATTGCGGTAATAAATTATTTATAAAAAATTATATAGTGTCCGAGGTCGCGTAAATGTACCAGCAGCTGGGGTGTGCTAGCCGCAGTTTGAGAGTTCCATTGGTTTAAAAATATTTTTAACGTTCACTTATGATCAGAAAACGAATGTCCAAAGAGTTCTGCGCGACAGCAGTAATAATTTATTTATAAAAAATCATATAGTATTCGAGGTCGCGTACATTTACGAGCAGGTGGGGTGCGCTACCTGCGCTTTGAGAGTTCTGTCGGTTTAAAAATATTTTCAACGTTCACTTGTAATCAGGGAATGAAAATATAAAGAGTTCTGCGCGATTGCGGTAATAAATTATTTATAAAAAATTATATAATGTTCGAGATCGCGTAAATGTACCTCGGACCTCGGACACTATATAATTTTTTATAAATAATTTATTACCGCAATCGCGCAGAACTCTTTATATTTTCATTCCCTGATTACAAGTGAACGTTGAAAATATTACGGGATTTTATTCTACGTAAAATAGCAAACAACTTTTGCTTGAAAAAATTTTTTATACGACCTCTATTTTCTAAGATATTTACGTAAATATCTACAAAATTATTGGTTTCAATAATTTTTTACTTGAATTCTATTAACTTTACCGAAAAATATTAAGAGATAAAAATTGCTTATTTTGTTTTCAAAGAGCTCTGAGAATTTTTTCAGAATTTTGTGTCAACTTTTTAGTACTTCAAGAAAATGCAAGAAAATGCAGTACTAAAAAATTAATATAAAATTCTGAAAAAATTCTCAGAGCTCTACGAGAACAAAATAAATAATTTTTATCTCTTGATATTTTTCGGTAAATTTGATAGAATTCAAGTAAAAAATTATTGAACCCAATAATTTTGTAGATATTTACGTAAATATCTTACAAAATAGAGGTCGTATAAAAAATTTTTTCAAACAAAAGTTGTTTGCTTTTTCACGTAGAATAAAATTCCGCAATAAAAAAATATGTATTTCTATCTAAAAAAGCAAAGTTGACCTTGGCCTGACCTTGGTGACGTCATCTTAGGTCAAATAACTACTGTCATTAAATGCGACTTTTTAAGCCTTACAACTTTTATTCGAAACATTTTTCTCTAAAATGCTCCCCCGCCGAGTTTTCTTGCCGTTGCCGAA